TTAATAATGCTCCTATTCCTAACTCCCCTACCTTTGCTATTATTAAAAACACGCGGAGTAATCTTTAACTCTTTCGGAGGTGATGGATTGCCACTGTGAAATTATGGTATGGTATAGGATTTAAAGGGCAATACAATAAGCATTAGATAAAGGCCTGCAACGCGAGAGTCTTTTATTCGCCTCCCCCAAGTCTGCTCGTTAAATTTTTTTAACAATAAGGAGAACGAACTTAAATTCTTTTAAAAAAATTTTAAAAATAATATTGCATATTTTATAAGTTTTAAGTTATAAATACATTTAAATAAAATAAATAAAAAATAAAGCCAACCAATAAAATAATTTTTATATTGGGCGAGCGGACGGGTTTAACAATTTTTCTTAGATAAATGAGCGGACGATGAATTTGGAATTTAAAAAAATCATGGGTAAGGCATTCGGGTTAAAAATCGCCCATTGCATGCCTCTAATATGCACATGCTCACGATTCTTAAATCTAATGAGATAATCGATTCCATATTAAAAATGAATTTTTTTAAAAAAGTATTAATTTATATAAAAAATTGTATATATATATTACAAGATATTACTTGCTCCTTTTCCTTGATCATCTTTTTTACCCCATACCTCTCTTACCCCAAAAAGACTCATAATGTTGTTTTAACTTTGAGATAATCTTTTCTAAAAATTTGTGGTATGAATTTTCGTTGTTGTGTATAACATAAAGGGATTATCTTTCTAAAAAAATGCGTTCCCCCTAATTTATTATACAGATAACGTAAAAATCGATATGAATTCAGAATTATTTTTTAGGAGAATATATTTTAGGCAATATTTTGTTTTTGTTTCTATTACTTATGCTATTATTATTATTATATTATATATAATATTTTTATGATTTATTAAAAATATTTTATGAATATTTTAATATTTATATTTATGCATTTTATTAAGTTTTAAGTATCTTTTCAGACAAATTGAAAATTAAAATAAAATAAAAAACTTGATAGTTTTATTAAGCTTTTTATGTATTAAATTCTTCTTTTTTTTAAAAAAAAAAAATAATACTACATATTCAATTTTTATTGCAAAGTAGTGTTGTTGAAAATCCTCGATTTGGGCGCTTTTAACGGCTAAATTAAGATTATGGCCAAAATATTAAAAATTTCTTTACTCACGTTTCGGGATTTTTCATTGGTAAAAAATATTTTAAAATATGTTAAAGTATATTTCATGTTAAAACTTTTAAGTAAAAGATTGACTCTGAATCTTATAAAAAGTTTCCACTTTTGGCGCTCTGATTTCGGGTCTCAGTAGTGTTATAAATTTTTATCCTATTTTAACGTTTTAAAATTATTGGGCTCAATTAGCGGAACGTTTAGGGAATAATTTCCTTCAGTTGGCTAATTTTTTGAAATTAAATTTTTTGTTGGTTTATAATGGGATTAATATAAATATGTATAATTTCGATTTGGATTTAGTAATGAATTATTAAAATTTCTTAATGAACCTAGAATATAAACATGGAAATATTCCTTATCCATTTATCTTGTTTATGAGCTTTCCTCTTTTTAATTTGACCGTTACTCTTTTTGAAATAATATTTTATTAGCAGTTAATTTTCTCAAATTTCTATTATTTCACAAATTTATATTAAAAAATTATTTTCCTCGTTGGCGGTTTGACAAATAAAATTTATTCATTTTGGGATATAAAGAATCATGTAATATAATCCTCTTTAAATTAATTTTTTGCATCAAATTGAAAATTATTTGTCTAAATAATAAAAATAAATGATCCTTTTTTAAAAATAGATAATAAATAATAAAAAATTTCCAGCGTTTGGGAAAGACTAAAAGAAAAAAAGATTAAAAAGAGATAATTTTATATTTATAAAAATTAGCATTAAATTTCCATATTAAAAAATTAATTTTGATAGCCGAACCAAATAAGGGTCATCGATTCTTAACTTAATAAACCAACAAATAAAAAAAAAATTTCAAAGTAATGAACCAACCAATTTTGACATTCTTTATTTTTTCCTCAAAATAAAAATACAAATTTTTAAGATTTACATAAATTAAAAATTATTATTATATTTTAATTATAGATAAAAAAAAATTTTTTCCAAGAAAATTGATTAAAAAAATAATAATTATATTTCTTATAGAATAGTATAACTTCTTATAAAAATAAAAAATGGAAAGTTTTAGAGTTGATAGATTGATTATCATATTATTCAGTTTTAAATGAAACCTTAAAAAAATAATAGTTTAGATTAGATGGATTCCTTTATTCGCGATTTTTTTTTCTACGATTTTTATTCTTCTTTAGTTATACAATTCCAAATAATTTTATAAATACCTTTAAGTTTAAAAGCTAAAAAATAGTCATATAAAATGCATTATATTCGCTCTTACTCTCCAAATCTTTGGTGCTTCGATTTCACGGATTTGGTATTTCATTATTAGTTATTTGATTGACAAATATGAATTCCTTATTCGAATAAAATTATTCGTATGAATAATAATATTCTTGAATATAAAAATAAAATTATTTGGATCAAATAACGGACTGGACTAAATTATTATATTAGGGTCAAAAATTAAATTTTAAAATTAGGAACGTGAATTGATATGACTTATAAAAAATTGTCTATAACTTCCGTACTTTTTTATATTTTGGGAAATATTAAATATCGTTAGATACATATAACTAGGGAAACCGGACCGGAGCACAGTGGACAGTATTTCATAATAATTCTTTTTTAAAAAAATATATGTTAGGAAAAATTTTGAGCAGTTAAGATAGTTGACTAAATGAATTGAATGTATAAAATTAATTTTTTTTTTAGTATATATATACAGATTTTTTTAAAATTTGTTTGGATTTTTCAAATAAAAAATTCAGGGCACATTGTACCAAGTAACAGGATAAATAAAACCACACAGAGGATCATATTTATATTTTAATAAAAATTAAATATCCTTTTACTAATTAAGATTATGGGAAATACAAATACTGAATAAAATTTTGTCATCAAATAAAAATAATTATGATAAAATTTTGAATAAAAATTAATATAAATGCTAGTTGCTAAAAAAGCAGTCAATTAGCTGGCTAAAATTGCTTAAATAGCTAATAATATGGAAATAACCAAACCATAGTCATAACTAGATCTCAGAAAAATATTAATTCGTCAAATTCACTAAAACTTTTATATTTAAATTTTTTATCAATTCTATCTATTTCCACAAATATTCATCGAATTTTAATAACTATTAGGTATAAATATATTATTTTGTGTTAATATTATTCATTTAAAATAAAGGCCAATCGAATATATACATTTTTTTTCTAGATTATTAAACCATTGACACCTAACCCTGCATTCACAGACAGCCCGAATTCGCTGAGTATAATACAAAATATGATATTAATATTATAATTTTACATTATATTTCGTATACTTCACCGCGAAATCATACTAACTGTGAAAGCAGGGCAATACAATTGTGTTTTCTATTAACTATAAATAAAAAATGTACGAGTAATCATTTTTCTTGCTCTTACGTATTTTTCCCCTATGGGGGGGGGGGGGATCCGTAGACTCGAGTCAACATAAAATATCTTTCACAAATGCATCAGAGATAGTATAAAGGAGATTTTTCAATAATGCAAACAAATTGAATAATTTTTAAATTATATTTTTATAACTGGATATATTTTTGAATATTACAAAAAAAATATTTGAACCTTTGAGACAAAAATTCCGCGGGTATCTAATCTTATGTCACATGTGATAAAGAAGAGTTTAAGCTCTCATTTGTTATAATTATATGCGATAATTAATCTTATTAGTTTAACTCCAAAATAAATTAATTGCTCATAAATTATTTGTATCGTAATAAAAGCATATATTAAATAATAAAATTTAATGATTTAACTTAAGGCAAATATTCTTTGTCGAGAAGTGTATATCATAATTAATTTCTATAGGATTAAATTTCAATTCTAAGATATAGTTTTAAAATAAATAGGATAGGACTCATATGCGCCTTAGCTCACTATTCTCCGGTCTCCTCTTTATACTACAAGTGAATAGGGGAGAGCGGTGGCATATGGAAGGTGGAGTAAAAAGGCAAACGTCCCTAAATTTTTATCTTTAGGGGTTATTGTTTCAACTGTCAATATTTTTTATAGATACTAACCGTCGTACGTCCATTTAGTAATGAAAGCTCAGCCCTTTTTAACCTTTTAATATTTGGTAATTGTCTGAGACAAAAGTATTATACTCGTTTAAATTCTTGGATGTTTATAGGATATATTTCTCAATGCCTAGACTATCGAATAATTTCAGTCCTTAGTTTCTAGTCCAGAATAGTTTCAGTTTAAGCTACCTCACAACCCCTGGGTCTATACAGCAAGGGGAATTTTATAAATTTGTGAAGCAATAATTTTCCGGCAACGACTATCTAAAATATCTTAAATGGGGGTTTTGCCCTTAAAATTATCCACTGAAAACATTTTCACCAAATAAATGATCATTCTAGAAATTAAACCATTGGACGTTATTCTTCGTGATACCCAAATCGCTAATATAAATCCCAGAATGCCTGCTGAGTCTATAGCCAGACTATCTAATCATGATAATAGGCACTTCTACCACGGCGGGGTGGGGCATGATGTAAAATTGTAGAATAAATGTTGAAAGGGAGAAGATAGGGATGGATAAAATATAGGAGGTATGAATTTCTACTTTAAAAAATTTTTTAAACTTTTTTTTTTTCATTTTAAAATTAACAGATAAATATTTAATTTTTTAAAATTATTTACTAGAAGAGCAAAGTCTCAAAACCTTCAAATAAACTATAGCATTTCTAATGCACAGTATACATGTGATTCAACCTACCATAAACAGCATTTACATTTTTAAGGTGATTAAAGTCTAGAAAGGGAGTGCTACAAAAGCATTTATATAATATACATAAAATATGAATTACCTGGGGTATTTTAAATAGCCTAAGAAGATTAGCCACTTGAATCGAAGTAACACTGGAAGGGGCTCCTACAACTCCCGATATCATCTTCATTTGACTTCCTTCTGGCACTGAGCCATCGGCACATTTGTATTCCTTGTCGTCTATGCTACTTATGGAACCTGAAGCATATATAATAAATATAATTTTAAGGAATCCTCCTATAAAATATGAGGTATTCGGCTGTGAATCCTAAAATGTAGTTATATAATTAGACCCCCCCCCCCCACCCACTTCTCGACACTTTATTAACTATCCCAAAAAGTTTCTAAGAAATATTTTATAAAAAACTGCATATAAATTTTATAATCTATATTCAATTTTCTGTTTTATATGATATGTGATGTACAAAGAAAATAAATCCTTCATAACTTTATCGTTATCTGCTCGTACTGATTATTAAAAATATTATATATCATTATAATTATTAAAATTACATTACAAAAGAAATAAAATATATTCATTGAAGCCTAAATATAGAAAAATTACAAATTCGAGTCTAAAAGAATCCAGGTCCTAAATTTTTCAAATATCAACAATCTTTTTTTGATTGAGTAAATATCGAAAATCGAACAAATAATTATTGAATCCGAGCTGGGTATACAATTTTGATATATGAGAGTGTAAGGAATATCAGGCGAAATCTTATGTATATAAAAATAAGTGCTTGACTTTCATTACCCCTAAGTTACAAATACAATGTTTACTTATGATTATTATTGAAGATCAAGTTATAAATAAGCTTTCCAATCCAAAGGGTAATAAATAAAAATCGTTGAAAATTTTCACAAATTCAGTCATTGTGTATAAGAGATCTGCCGCGGGCCGGGTCGATCAACTAGTACATAAAGAATTTTGGGCCTGACTATGTAATTTATACACAAAAAATCAGGAGGGCATTAAATTCTGATTAATATTTTGAATTTCAAGCTAAAATTTTAATTTTGATTAATAATATTTGAAAATAAATTACAATATACTTATTTTTGTATTTTAAGAGCTGTCTAACAAAAATATTAAATATAAAAATAAATAATATAGCAAATTCACAAAAAATTAAACTAGTAATTTATTATATGATCCAATTGCAAATACACAATACAAATCGTTGTTGTCGAAAGAAATAGATAGCCATAGAGGAAAAATATAAGAGCCATTATTGACATTTGGGAAAAATTAAATATAGAGATTAAAAATTTAATGGCATGGAAATTCGTCCATAAAAAATTTTTTTTAACGGGCCAGGTAGTACTGGGCAATTTGTGCAAAAATAGATCTCTGCCGTGAATATACCTTATCAGGGTATTGTGATCTTATTAACTATTTATAAATAAAAAGATTCAAAATGATCAGAATAATGTATTTAAAAAGAGAATTAGGTGAGAGGAGGGGACATAATGAACTGTCTCTCAGGATGCCGCCTATCCCCCAAAATGAATAAAATAGGTAATTGAAAAAACAATTTTAAAAAATAATCAACATAATTTAAATTATTCAGGAAGGAATTTAAAACTAACTAATATAGTATAAAATTAATATTATTCAAAATAAGTGTAATCTAGCCAAGGGCCAAAAAAAGCGGAAAAGTATTTCAACCTTCTGTGAAAATCATGTCTATGCCCATGTCTAAATGACGTTCTAATCGAAATATAAATTCTATAAACCTTCAAATTAAATATCTATGATCTTTAGAAAAGAAAAAAAAGGTAAATTGAAATTTAAAAAAAAAATAAGGACAGGAAATCAAATATACAGTTTTCCATTTTAGACATTAAACAATATAAAAATTTGATAAAATTTAAATAAAATTTATTATCACAATAAAATTTTAGTTTATAGTTTTATTTTTTTTTTCAGCAATAATAAAGTAATTTTTTTTTAATATAAATTTATAACATTAAAAAAAACTTAATATACACTCATTTCACTAATGGACATTTAAACTTTGATAATAGCTAAAAGTATAAAGCTATATTAATATAACTTAGATTTGTATAAAAATAATTTCAACATTTTTCGCAAATCTGAAATATTAAATATTTTAATGACATCGAAAGAGGTTATTTATATGTGTAATTATCAAAAAATAATATCAATAAAAAAACCGATCAAATAAATTCATTTTATTATAGACATTATTATCACCTAATGAAATTTTATACTGCTTTTCTTTTCCTCTGTTTTCTTTTAGTTTAATTTAATTTATGTGAATTCTTTTGAAAGAAAATAAGGGAAATATAAAGAAGAAAGAAATAACAAGTAGATGTTTAACCCTGAACGCAACCTCGAAGCACTGAACTCGATAGATAGTTTTTTGGAGTACCAAAAAATAATCTGATTTATCCCTGAGCCCCTTTTAATTGATAAGATATTACATAAATTCAGTGATATATTTTATTGACGGAGTTTTTTAAAAAAAATAAATTCTTAAAATTTAAATCATTTGTAGAGCGCGTTTTTTCTTCAATTTTGAAGAACCTGATTTTTCCGAAATCATATCCCGGCATAATATATTTAATGCCTCGCTTATTCCAGATATCAGACAACTTTCGCCATGAGTATTAGTGCATTTCTTTTATTTATATGAAAAAAAATCTAACAAAAAAATGAATATAAATTTAAGTGTAATTTCAAAAATTCACGAGAAAATTGTCTAAAATCCAAAATTTTTCTAAAAAATTGCACGTTACAAATGATATGTTATAAAAATTTCTAAAAAGTCGGTTGAGTATTGTAGTGTTTTATATCTATTTCTCAAAAAATTTCAGGAACAATGCAAGTAAAGGATTGTTAGTCGAAATTATATTTTAATATTTTTATTGTTAATTTGGAAGAATACACTACTGAATAATTGATTTATCGAAAGAAATGTATTTTACAGAAATGCGGATATACATTACTCGACAGATTGTATATTAATTCTCTGCAAAAGCGTAACCATAAAAATTTACTATTTACACTGCATTCACAGTTAGCGAGAATTCGTGGGGAAGTATACAAAATATGACCGATTATGTATATTTAGACACTTTAAAATTTTTATTTTATTTTATTATATATCCAATAATATTAACAAAAAGAAGATAATGATTTTTTAACTGTGAATGCATATAAATGATCAGTCTATAAATTTAACATAGATAATAATTATGCTTTATAAAACAAATATTTAATTAAAATAATGAGTCAAGTCTTAAATTATCATTTCAAAATTTTTTTAGAAAGATTTATTAATATTTTATAATAATTTGAATCATTTTTTTCTAAAAATCATTAAATAAAATTACCTTTATATTTTATTTAGTTATAATTTTCTGGCCGCAAAAGTGCCACTTCTATCTCATGAAATTGTTAAATAAAATTTTTTATTCGTGTTTTTGACTGGATCAATTTTTGGATAGTAGACCAGTAATAAAAATATCAATTAACAACTATTCACATATGTTTGTAATACTAATCCACTACCCGAGCGCAAACTTTTAATTCGGTTCCACAAAATTGTTTAAAATTTGTAATTTTCTTTAGTGGATATTATTAATATCTAACTAATCCTAAAGGTTTTGTAATACTGGCTCTACACCTAAATATTTTTATTCTGTCTAAACCTAAATTGCTTAAAAATTTCAAATTTTTCCCCTCGTTGAGTAAATAAAACTTAAACTATCAATTCAAACAATATACCTAAAAGTTTTGTAATATTGGTAACTAACTAGAACTTTTATCTGATCAAAACCAAAATTGTCTAAAAAATATTAAATTTTACAGGCGGTATTATCGCCCTTTAGGCGAAGAAAAATAAAATAGTTATTTTTTTAAATTTATTTTTAACTGTTAACCACTAAATAAACTGAGTTTAAAAGCAGCTCACTTTCCCAATCGTTTGGAATAATCAAACATGTCTCTTAAAAATGGTAATCAAAATATAGTAATTTGTGCTAAACGACAATGAAATTTTATAAAAATGTAATAAAACCCATTTTAAATATATTAACAGATAGATAAGGAGTCCAAATCATGCCCTGGCATTATCTGCTATATATCATTATAGCTATGAATATAGATTAACTTCATAAAACACAGTTCTTCTTAGATTCGAACCCAGGTCGAAGTTTATTGTGATTCCCAAATCAGTGTTCATAGCCACAGACGGCGCTCGAAAAAAAAGATTTTATTTGTATATGAAGACACTTTGCGCTATAATTTAAAATTTTTATAAAAACAGATAGAAAATCAAAAACGTTCGGTGCTATACATCATAACCCATTTTTTATCCTTAAAGTAACATCAATAAATAATTTTTTGCTAATAACATAATTTCCATAACCCAGAGACCTCAAAATTAAAAACTTTATAAAAGAGGCCAGGGAGTTATTCTTTTATATTAGGTAAAAAATTCAATTTAAAATTTTAGATGTAATTATGGTTCCTTTTTGGAAACATTATTAATCATTTTTCTTAATTAATTCTGTAGTTTATAAATAAATTATTTATATTTTGAAATATTTCATGGTTAATCAAATTCATTATTATAAGATAGTATCGTTCTGAATTTATTTTTAAAATAATAAACTAAGAACCATTATTTTAATATACATGGACCGTTAATACTAATTTCTAAAGAGTGGATTTTTAGTTTACGTATCTTTTACCCGGTATTATTTTTCCTTATTAACATAATATAATATTTTAAATTTGGGTAATGATGCATGGTGACTAATGTTTGAGACCCGAGTTGGATTCCAGGTTGGGATAGGATACCGGGGGGTAATAATAGATATAACAGGGCATAATTTGGATTAAATATCCATCCATTAATATATATCAAAAATTGGGCATTCAAATAAAAGCGGCGGTGTAAAAGTTTTGAATAATTCATTAATTTTTTAAAAATAATATAGAATATAGATCTTATTAATAAAGCAAAAATCGAACCAAAAATACTAATTGAATTAAATATAGTTTATTCATTTTTAAAAATGATTTATTTATTGAATTTTTAAAATAAATAATAAAAATAAACTGCTTTAAAATGATTCTCCTTAGGTTAGGTATTATTCTTAAGACGAATAAGGAAAAAAGGCATAAATTTTAATATATATTTTAATTTTTTATCTTATTTACA